ATATATATATATATATATATTGAAAGCGCTCGAAAAATTAGGAGAAGTGACATTGAATAGATTGATAGGTGGTAAAGACTATGAAGTAATGGTGATGTTTTAACCAGAATTCGAATTTTATGAAGTCGCTTCAATGAGATTGATTTTTACCACTCTATTTGTTCGGTTTGTTTCCTCTTAATCTATGCGCCTTCTAAACCCCATCTCTGTTCAACCGTAAGCAAACGCATTATTGCAAATATTCTATAGATGGGAAATGCACTAGTCACATTCGATTTGAAATATTTGAGTGAGTATGCGAAGAAGAAGACTACTGCTTGCAATATGATCATTTTATCTGTTATACTTCGTTCATGTTTCATCTCTCACAGATTGGAACTGAGAAGCCAACGTGAAACTTTATCGCTTTATTAGAGGTGATTGAAAAATTACAGTTGACGACTGAGTTGAATTATTTGATCATTTATGCTGAGAGTATATTTTTGTGTAACGTTCCTCTAGGTTAACTTTCTATCAAGTTCGTTTTACAATCAACATTTATGAGTCAAATTTATGATTTAACACTTGGTTCGTCGTCATTTTCGCAGTGTCACTCGGTGTTTCGCTGACGAGTGCATATGATTTTTAGATTGAGATAATTCAGGATTATTTTTGACGTGTTATTTGCAGTATCGTAGCAAAAGTGAGCATATTTCTCGTCTTTTGCTGAGTTTAATTGTGCTAGTGCGTTTATTTTTGCTTTGCAAAGACAAATTATGCTTTGTGGATCATCGCCACTAGGCGTCAACAGTTTATTTGTTTCAGAGCACTTTTATTAGCTCGTAGTTAGTGATTCACTGTTAATGTTATTGTTCATTNAGATTGAGATAATTCAGGATTATTTTTGACGTGTTATTTGCAGTATCGTAGCAAAAGTGAGCATATTTCTCGTCTTTTGGTGAGTTTCATTGTGCTAGTGCATTTATTTTTGCATTGTAAAGACAAATTATGCTTTGTGGATCATCGCTACTAGGCGTCAATAGTTTATTTGTTTCAGAGCACTTTTATTACCTCGTAGTTAGTGATTCACTGTTAATGTTATTGTTCATTGTTACTGTTTTTGTTATCGTTGTTTCTGTCCGATATTATTTTTTTGACAATATCATCTCACAGAGACTGTGTTATTATCTCGATGAAGCTACCATTTCATTTCTATGCTTTCACAAGTAAAGTCGCTTCAATTTTTATTCGTGCCTTCATCGAATCTGCTCTTGTGATGTTCATTCCTTTTACGTAACAGAATTGTACTCCATTTTGCCTTTTTAAAGATAGATTTCATATCGAAAAATCCACACTAGAAGTTAACTGGAATTTGAAGTGAATCAACCATTTTGTTTCGTCTTCAGCGGATGGAACAATTATCATCAATGGATGTTCCATCACTATTGACTATTCTGTCACAGTTGTTATTTGTTACAACGAAAGGGAATTCATGACTGAAAATGAAGTCATCTTGAATCTATGTATCTTCAGTTGATGACCAGTGATGTTGCAGAATTAGCAGATGCATGCATTTTAAAGATACTGTTCTTTCAGAGGCAATATTGGAACCAGCAAGTAGTTATTACGATACAGATTTGAGGTATCAAAGGAGTTGCGGTGGGCACAATCGAGAGGGTTCTCTCGATGGAGAGATATTTAGTCCGGGCTATCCAGCCACATTCCCCAAAAACGTGACCTGCAATTGGCTGATAAGGGTCAATCCCAACAAAAAAATCTATATTCGTCTTCGTTACCTCGAACTTTCACCAACAATGGGTTTGATGATTGATTTGTTCATATATACATCTGGCAAACGAATCGAAAGATCCATTCGTTTAGCCTAATTAATGCTGAACTGATTGATTGTTTCTATAGGATCTGCCCAGCTATCAATGAACTGAAATGTACAACATTGAGGATTGCTGTATGAATTTTGTAAATATACTTTCAATTGATGTGTGTATTCAGCTGAATGCGAACGAGCATCACTCTATATAATTGATGGCTATCGTCATGAGACAAATGATTTACGAAAAGATGATGGCAGTCAAGTGCGTTTTTGTGGTGGACAGCTCTACTATAGTGAAGAAGGTATGAAATCGTACATGTCAACTGGTAATCGTCTCATTGTAAGGTGAATCATTATAATTCATTGATAGTTATTGTTATATTTCAAAAAGCGATCAAATTTTGCAATAGCTTCAGATTTATGACAAGAGATCATCCCACTTTATCACAACTAGAGAAATACGACGAAGAGGGTAAAGCGATCGGATTTCGTTTGGTGTGGACTGAAGTTGATGAGTTTTTGCCTGATGTTAACGAGTGCCTCGTTAGTTGTTCAAAGAGTTAATGCATTTTATCCAGTTTCAGCATTTGTTTTTAAGTTGAGAATTAACACTCAAAAGTATTCGTTAATGTATGAAATGCGAGCATTCGATAGCTTCAATTGTTAATTAGTAGTTTATTCGGATGGAAATTTCCACTACTGGTTATATATTTTCCGCTGTACGTCCGAAAAGCGCTATTATAATTTGATATTTTAATACGCAGGGTTTTGCATGCAGTGGTGGACAACTTTGCATCGATAACGGTCAAAATATCTGCGCGAGTCGCAGCCAACTTTGTATTCATAAATCGCTGATGTGTAATGGCGTTTCGAACTGTGCTGAAAATGATCATAGTGATGAACAAAACTGTGCGTATGCTTAGAACTATTTCGTTTACGTTCATAATTGTTCATATAAACTCTTTTTTTGTTACAGCGTTGGCATTGAATTACTGTTTCGAATCAACTCGCTTGTATGAACACAATCAAAGATGCATTAGAGCTAAATGCATAATTAACTTACTGCTGACATTATCGTTGTTATTTTGCAGGTTATTCGCAACATATCATTTTATCAGCTTGCTCAATCATTCTCGTTCTCATATTGGTGATATTTTCGACAATAATCTGGCAGAGATCTCGAATAACACGAAGAGTACAACGACGTACACGTGAAAGGATTGAGAGCGTCTCACTGAATAATCGCAACGGAAAAGGTGCTCCGATATGGGAATGCGCACATCCGGCAGCAATAACTCGTGGATTACAAGCACACTCTCACCGAACTTCATCGTGTACTCAACAAAAAAATCAAAATCGCGATCAACTACTCTCCGAAATGCGAACGTTCCGTCCAGCTCATCTCTAATCGAACAAGGAGCAATAGTCCCTTCTTTCATGATAATATTGCTCTTCATTTTGTTTTGATCACGTGCTATTTGTGCTAAGCGTATTTAGTAACGAATACAATAGTTTCTGTAAATTCCTCTTCAGTAAGCAATTTTACAGTTTGTTTCGCTAAATGAACCAGTAATACTAGTCATCCTTCTCTTTTTTTGAATCACATTTTCTCAGTCACCCACTTAGTGATGTTTCTATTCTACACTTTTGGGAAACCGTTCTGTTTTATTCCGCTCTTCAGCCGTTCTGTTCTGTTCTGTCTTCCACCTTCATATTTTGTCAACAGTTGTTCTTTCTGTTCCCGCGCCACAAATTTCAACACTGTTCTGTTTTGTCGTGTTCCTTCAGTCAGAAAAATAGCACAAAATATTGTGATAATCGGTGTCTGAAACGGGGTTTTCTGGCAAGAGAAGTGCAGAACGGGAGAATGGGCCTCGATTGCTTCTGGCGATGACGACTCGCAGTCGAAAGTTCCTTGCTTTGGTAACCAGCATTGTTGAAGAACAGAGGCACCATAACCTTCAAACTTTGGATGTAAACTCGTTATGATTAGTAGGAATTAGCCTTTCGATTTTGGATTCAAAATATTTCATGTGTATAAACGACTCCGTGCGTTCTTGTCCGCAACTATTGATAAGCCAGATTGATGTCGGTTCGCCCCAACAGTTCGGTCCCAAACCGAAACATAGTTTCCAATAGCGACGAGTCCGGAATGAACTGACTTGTTCAAGACGATTCAGTTCCTTCGAGCATAAACTTTTGTTGGTAGCGTAAAACTTGAACGACTTTTGTGATGGATGCTCTTAGAGTTTAGAGTATGATCAGCAATTGAGAACAGGTTGTTTCTTCAAAATCACAGTCGCACTACCCTTTAGTGATTTCCTGAGCAACTCTCTCAAAGACAGCCTTCATCATTAACCACTGTAACGTGATCTGCATTCAATTATTTCATCTCTCATTGGTGGCATTTTTTGGCCACTAATAATAATAGTAATAAAAACAGCAACAGTAATGAAAATAAGACTAATGATAATAATGTAACGACTTGCAAGGTTTCCACAAATCGTTTATTTTCAAATTACCTCAAACTTAGATAATTAAACCATAAAGGTCAATTATCATAGCAAAATCAAATCATCATCACAGCAAAATCAGATCAGTTATCATCAAATCACAGCAAAATCAGATCAGTTATCATCAAATCACAAATCACATAGCAAAATCATACTATCAGTAGTAATAAGTCATTAAACAAATCAAGTCCTGATAATATCGCTAGCAACGGCAGCACAACACTGAAAAACGATTAAATGTTTCACTATCATATTATACAACCAATATATTCTCATTCTTACTTTTATTCCGCCCATTCATCGCATTTGCTTTCAACTAAGCCTTTGAAATCACTCTAATCTTATCTGACTATTCCTCTGAACATTTTCTCATTGTAGAATAGGTGATCTTTTGAGTTCTAATGGCTCATCGTGTAAACAATCTGCTGCCATTTAAACTATCTATATTATTATTAATTCATTCTAATATTCTAAATATCATTTTTTAAATATTCAAAATTACTTCACGACACCGCTGTCGTGACAAAAAACAGCAATAGTAATAATGGTAATAATAATAATGGTAATAATAATCGGTCGGAATTCCGAGATTCGGATTCTAACCGAACAATTTGGAAATTCGGCCGGAATACTGAATTTCGGGATGTTGAAAAATGAAATCAATCGAATGTCGACCGCTGTTAATTCGATCGAAAGGTCGAACTTAAATTTCGTTCAGATGCCACCGCTGATAATAATTAGCAAAGATGAGAATAAATTATGCGGTAAATCCTCTGATAACTAAAAAGGACTGATGCACAATAATATGAAATAAAACTTCGGATGTACAAAACGAAAATAATGCTATCGTCGAAACTGAGCCCTCTTCATTTTATCTCTGTTTTTCAAATTTCTCCAGCAACGATGTTGAAATTCAGCAAAGAATTTGAACCGACACGAAATCGAAAGCAAACCCTCTGAGCTGATCGGATCCTCAAAGTCCAGCGTCACACCAATACACTACCGCTTCATCCTAAGCTCATTGGATATCTTCTCCCTTATTTACGTACTCTCTTCTCTGTTTATGCCAGCTTTTCGCGCTAGCCATTACAGCTACATTTCTAGATTAAGTAAAGTCATGCTCAATTTATAAGGTAAGTAGCAACATCCAAAACCAAAATTGACAGCACTAAAATCGCACGTCCAAGTTTTCAAAATATTACCCTAATATAAAACTTTCTTCAGGAAGTTGGAAATCACAAAACCATACTGAGCGGCGGAACCTTTCTGAAATAAATGACGATGATGCGAAGAACAGTAAACCTAAATCAGTCCGAATGGAACGTTTGTTATGTTATGTAGCTGTCATCGATTAGTATCAGCAAGCTCTAAGATGAGGCCCTGGACTCACGAAACAATGCATTTTCTAAGCAGGAAACGCTAGATCTAGGTATCATTGTCTTGTTTCTTGCAAGATGCATTCCACCTCAGAGGAAATTAAGCATTCACTATGACATAAGTAATAACTCTTGAATCACGCAATCCATCTCAACAGAACGTGTTTCTTGCCACCTCAGTTGGCTCTCGATCACGATTTTACAAATAGCTTCATGCAAAAATCACATCATGATCTTGACGAACATACAGAATTTAAACGTTTCCACTCCTGATAACATGACTAGATACAAGCCAAACCGTAGTCTGGCTCAGGCTCGGTAGCATCAAACACGGAAACCGAGTGATTATGTTCAAGAACTAATTGCAAATTCAACACAACCACTTGGCGAGGTCTGAACGATCTCCGCGATAGTTCAAAAAAGGTAGAGCACTCAACCGGTAACTATTACCTCGCAAGTTTGATTCCCATCAGTTGGGAAGTTTTTGCTCGAAACGGAGTGGTGTATCAATGTCATTGATGCTTGCACTCCATACAGTACATTCATGTGACCTGTTCGCTCACATTCTCTCTCGATCGAGATGATCCTTTACATCAGTGTTTCCCAACTATGGGCGCTATCGACCCCTTGTGACCGTTGTTGTACTGGAAGGTAGCGCTTCATAATTTTTTTTCTCATTTAGGAAACAAAGGCCACGGTTGAAGAATAATAGACGTCTCTTCACCAATTCAACAAAATCACTAACTTTTCATTTATTGCTAAGGATTGTCTTCAGTTAAACTTATAATACTTGTGAAGCACAACGAAATTTGTTTTGTAAACTACATACACATTCTTGTGAATGTATTCTGACAAAGCAATCATAAGGATAGTGTACGTATGTGTGTGTTTGTGCATCCATTGTATGCAGTGTAGTATGAGAGGTTGTGGCTCATAACGTTAACGATTGAAGAGTGCTGGGCGATATAGATGATGATGTCGGGTGTTTTATTTGCATAGCTCGGGGCTGGCTGGGTATGTTGCTGTTGTTGTCGAATATAGAACAGCACACATTGAATCTTCCATATGAGTCGTCGACCACCCATCGTTTAGGTTATTGCGTTGATTATCACTTGCAAATTTTGCAGTCTGTTTCCACTTTACACGATCAGTAGTTCATACAGATTTTTGATGGAGATATATTTTGCTTTGTTTTTGTCTTCTTTTCCATTCAGCACTGTTTAATGTTCATACTGGATGACAGTCACATTCTGCTGAACACGCATTCTCGCGCTATTCACTGACTATCATTCACTTGTAAGAAGCAGTGTTGTCTTGAATTAATTCATTTCAATCAAACAATAGAGAAGTTACCTTTTCTTTTGACCGCAGAACGGCTCCTGTGATCGTCTTTCCAGGTTACACTGAGAAGTGTGAAATGGTCAGTATCATGCATAGTATTGAAATACCACTAAAAAGTGCTCAAGTATTATTATCTGACATCCACTGTACAGTTGATTAACAACGATAGAAAGAGAACAGCGCCTGTTCTGTTTCTAATATTTGCTCTAGAAGCACCGAATTCAAAATGAACAGAATTTACCGTAGAAATCGCTGAAAACAGAAAGCAATGTAGAGGAACAATGCACTGCTAGCGTAATCGATAGTTGATGAACGCCGGATATTATGATATTGCCATATTTCTTTTCACTCATTCACATTTCCGATCAGACTGCTTGGCCGCTTTGACGGAGATGTGTAGTCATTTAACGATCCTCTTTCGAGTTGCTGATCAGCGATGCAATGAATTCACTTTTTCCTGATTAATCCCAAAATATCTCGACCGATTGCGGGTAATAATTTGACGTGTTCGATGTTTTCTATTAACACTCTGTATACCGTAATGTATTTTTTCTTCTTCCTAATATTACGACTGTTTGGAATTCCTTCATGTTGATTTCATTCATCCTCATTCGTAAGAATCGACTTTTCTCAATTGTTTGTCTATAATTTTGCTAAAAGCTGATGAAGTATGGTCGCGGTGACCAAAAGAGGTTCATCTTTCTTTAATGTCAGAAAATTTCATCAAAACAAGAAAGTCGCTCGTTATGAGAAGAGAATGATTGACCCCGATGACAGTATAATAATTGGTTGATATTTGGTCACAATCTCTTACATTTCAATTTTGATAGGAATTCCACTCCTATGAAGCGTTTATTCCGAGGTAATTACTGATTTCCTAAGCCAAGTTGCTACACACTGAAGTTCGTGGAACGTTATTTTTCAATCAATAACTGCAGTTCTCTTGAAAATGCAATTGGCAGTTGCTGTAAGTCGGTGACTTTCAAAAATATCGAATCATTGTGGTGGGTAAATAATAACATTCGCTTGCTTACTTAAATGAGCTGCTTATTGGATGGATTTAGGCGAGTTTGTTGAATTGGGGATAAGACGTAAGAAAACAGAAGTTATACTACATACCTACACTTCTATGTGCATATCGAACTGTTTACTTGTCAAGCGCCGACGAGCGCACGTGATTGATTGGTTGAAATGCAATCAAACCACAATTCCTTATTGCTTTCTTTACTTACGGATCATGGCTTAGAATTTCGATCGGATGCATTACTCATCACTCAATTATTTCAGTTCTGAGTCGGCAGCTTAGTTCGTTTTTCAGATCAGAAGTTCGGCGTAATCAAGACTTTTACCGCTTGTATTATATCTGCAAACAATCAAAATTATCTCGTTGATATAATCAAGTACCCTAAATGGTTTACTTATTGACCCGTTCATTTTGTCCCGTTTTTTTTTTTGTGAAACAATGAAGAACAATCTATTGTAATATTTAATTAACATCCCGATAACGTTAACATAATTTATGCTTATTATAGTTAATAGGTCAATAACGTTAACACAACTTATGCTTACTTCTCAATCGCATCATTGCTGTTCTTCTGCGAATCATAAAGAATGACTCAAGCAAAAGCATGATCAAGCATCGATTGCTTTTTGTGTTGACTTGCTGATTCATTATTTATATTCTGTGCATCAATCAACGTCCATCGTCTCGCTTCATCGTTTCCTATTCTTTCGCTTTTTCTTGTCTAGTACCATTTTCATTATCGTACACAATTCGGTTCTTATCATCAACTCACTCATTCGATTCGAATACTTCCAATCAACTCATTCTAAACATTACTACTCAGTCACATTGCTGCCCTATTCATTTCTACATTCGAAAATTTGCTCACCTTAACTAATTCCTCGTTTGCTCGTTCACTATCACTTCAGCAGTGAATTTTTGGTCAGTTTCAAGAATTTTCAACGTGTATCAGATCTTCTTCAATCCTATGCAACCAGCTCAATAATCGTATCAATATTCTACTTTCATTTGTTCTATATCTGTCAAGCGGTTTAATATCTTCACAGCATCAATCTAGCAGAGTCAAATTCGCCGCTGAAATCATCTCAAGTTGAGTTTGGTTGTAAGTGCGACAACAGTTCGTGAATTGCACAAGTCATGCTCACTTCTCATTTCTATCGTTTATGCTTTTTAAGGGCCTCTCAGTAGTTCATTTTAAACGTCTCGTATTACAGTTGAACGTATTTTATTACAGCAACACGCAATTTCCATCTTTATCGTAGTTGAACCAATTTTTTTTTGTTGAAACGGTTCGTCGTATGCTGTTGCCGTCATAATGAGAAAGCATTTCCTACCAATGTTGATCATAAGTTGTTTCGAAAAGGATTGGAATGTAAACGTAGACTATTAGCTGCTCAATAGTTTGATAAGAAATTTGTATCAGCGTTCAGCGAGCGTATTGACTTTTATCACATAACTGTTTGTTTATGTGATTCATAGCCTAAACTACTCTCATCGAATAAAATAATTTATACGTAAAAGTCTTAAGCAAGCCATTCTAAAATCGTTGATCATATCACGTCAGCGTCATTCACTTCTGAGTGAGTGTTACTTTGTTTGCAGCTTTTTCACGTTGCATTTTCAAAATATTCTCATTCGGTTAGTTTTAATTCTTAACAAAGCTCATATGTTCCATTCCACAGTTCGTCTTTTTCCCAAACGTTTTTGTCCTCAAGTAACGAAAAGTTATTGATTGCTCGCAAGATATTTATGTTATTCACAAAACACTGTTACTGATACTTTTCTTTCATTTCCGAAATAATTCTCAGATCATCTTTATTACAAGTGTTTGATTACATTCACTACTTTCAGTCTACTACCCTATCACTTCAGCTTGAATTCATTCGGTTCATGAAGAGACCAATATTCGAGTTTATTGAAAAACTTGCAGTATTATTTCAGTAAATTATCACCATTTTGAACCAAACTTTGCCCTAATTTCAATTTCAATCGAGTTCCACATACGACGACTCAAAGTCACTTTTCATGAAGGCTGAGAGACCGGAAGTTGCTTTGAATTGATTCAGCAGGGCGCGTCTGATGAATTTTTACATGTTGATAAAGATTGCCAACTCCGTACAGACAAGAAGATCTCGTCGCTTTGACCATCCAGAAACTGGATAATCAAAGGATTTTAAGTTCTGAGTTGATTACTAGTGATGCCCTTATTGAAATTTCACGATGAAATAACTGTTATGGAATGCGAACAATCATTCAGAAAAGAATCATTCAGTAATCGTTCACCGTTGCCGCACAGTATGCAGTTTGGTGATAACCACTTATATTGCTTTCATTCAATTTTTAGCAGTGTGTCATACGTGATTATTATCAAACGAACAGTGATGCTGCTACGGCCAACACATTTGGCTATTGCCACTGCTGTGGTAGCTTTGGGTTAGTTTCACAAGTCTCAGAATCTTAATCTTCATCTTATCAATAACGCAGTAAAAAGTATTGAAATCTGTGAAAGAAGTAGCAAAAGATGAATTGTAAGAGTAAAATGAAGAAATAGAGCTTGTTGACTCTTCGAATTGAAACTTTTGGATGAGACGTTTCGAATGTGAGGAATCGCATATGAATTTGCATATACACTGATCGGTGATGGGCTCATTAATTCGGAAAGCATTAAAACCAACTTTAAAATGGACCGATTTCTTCCTTTTCATTGATTATTGTGTGTGATTGTGAAGCATTCGTATAATGCAGCTTCTATGGTAAATGGGCAAGCGTTGAACGATCCACTCACTCAGTACATAGAAGGACGGCTTGGTAATAGACGAATTTTCTGGTGTCCTTCTGGATACGGTGAGTTAGATTGAAATCATTTCAAAATGGATGTATCTTTGAAAAGGGTACGTATGCGGATGAGGTAAAACAGCGGTTAAAATGTATTATGGTGCGATGCATCTCAAATTGATATTTCTTAAAACTGATTCGTTTATCATCATTTAATCCTGATTAGTGTTTCACGGAATCTCAATCCTGGCATTCATGTTCTGACAAATCCCAGAACTTGAAAATCTGATAAAACACAGCATTCCATAAAATTTGATAATATATACTCATTTTAAATTACCCAATATCCATTCCCAGTTCATTCATATTCGTTAGCGTTTATTATGCATCATCCACTCTTCGTCTTTTGTCATCACCGTCGCTTTTCTTCCGTTTATGGTCGTTTGTCAACCCAGTGATCAGGAAAAATGGGATATAATTTCGATCCTGGAATTGGAAGATAGTTGAGATTTTAAAAAGATTGGTTCTGATCGTTATTGATACAATATAAAGTCGATTGGAATAGCTAACAATGATGCACATTCCATGAATGTGTTCCTACTGAATTATTATGCTTCTTTGTTCAGTATTGGTTGTTTATTGATGACGATTTAGAAAATCTATTCTCAGAAGATGAAACACCGAAAAGATGTTCGGTTGTTCATGAACGAAACCTGTTGTAACGTGAATCAGTTGTTTTGCTAAACATTGAACCGGCATATTGGCTTTAGCATATAAATCAACGTATTAAATCGATATGAAATGTGACGAATATCGGAAATTTCCAAGAATTTTCGTTGATTTTTTCATAGTTCAAAAAAATTGAGTGATATATTGAAAGTCATGATTGATTTTTTGGCTTCACATTACGACGTTAACATTTTTCGTAAGGATTATGGATGGCATTGTCCTCTCAAATTGGACTTTAGTTTTCATTTTTCGAGCGACTTTTCTCAGTAAGCTAATGTCCTGCTCAATACAGGTGATAATATTTAAAAAAAACAATTCATTGTACTATCAGGCTACTTGGCATATTGTCCACAACCCACCGACTGGGATAATTACAACTGGTGTTGTACATGGCCTTATCTTGGTTCGTGGAAGCCATCTTGTTGCGCATTCGCGATACCGACAGGAGCTGTTGTGGCGCTGATTATTGCTGCTATCATTTTAATAGCCGGTTACTGCTTGTCTCATTCGAAACATTTGGGCGTTAGCACTTCGGAGCACCATCATTATGTGTTCCTCTTGCATGCAAATCATCATGAACTTTGAAAAAATCTTTCAAAAGATACGTACAATTTAATGAGCTTCTTCTTACACGATACCAATGTAAAATAGATTTACTGAATGCTAAACTATCAGTTATCCAGTTCGTTGCGAATGTCGCAGTGAATAAAATCGGTTAAATAAATGGTAATAATGTTAAGTCAAAATTTTAGTTCTGATTGCGCTATCGTGTTGGTGTTGTTTCTGTTGTCCACTTTACAAGCAATTATACGACTACGAAGAGGCGAAGTGAACCGATCAAGGCGATGCATTTTGATTGATTCGATTTTCAAGCAGAAAAATCAGTCAATCAGCCACGGAATTGACTCATACAATGCTCACCATCTCACTTATTTCCACTCATCGTTCTTCAATTTCACTTAATAAATTTTTACTTACGATATATGTTCATATGAAATATTCCATTCTCTACAAGCAAATTCTCATTCATTTACCTTGCGTAATTGGCATCCGCTTGTGAAAACTTGGTAATTGATCAAGCATTCAATTGGCAGACCCATCCCTACTTTTTAATGTGAGAAAAAATTGTTTTCCATTCTCATCATTTTCAATGAACCAAAGCATATTTTACGTGCCCCAGTAATGCAGATATTCTTCATTTGTTCAATGAAACGACTCACACTCAAATATCGGTTTAAAGTGATTGATATTTATATTGATGCGTGTATATGTAGATATATATTCTCATTCGGATCAGTGAAAGTTATTGTTGACACCATTATGCTGCCGATTATCAAGAGCTATCGACTGACTGTTTATCTGATTTTCAAGCATTTAATGTGATCAGATATTACCATTCAAATCTATTGAGTGATTTTGATTGTTTCCTTCAATCCTATCCGATGCCGTTACTTTTTTCATGAATTTACTTTGTTACTTATTGGTTTTTGAGGTATGTTTTTTTTCAATTGCCTAACTGATATTACCTCCATTGTTGAGTTATGCTTCTTCGTTTATCATCTCCATTCGAGAACACACTCACTCCTCTTATCAATGTTGTCGTCATTATTACGTTATATTGTTCCGATAGAGAACTCATATCGTTCAACAGAAAATTTATTTTTAATGGGTTTATAATTTACCGGATTATCAATCTATTTGTCTCGCTGCTATTTGCAACAAGACAAATAAAGTCAATCAGTTTTGTGATGATGAAACCATACAAGTTGACCACAGCACCCCAATTCAGTTTTCATTATTAACATTCATCGGAAGTGAATGGCAATAATTATTTGATCAATCAGTTGACCATATGATATCGTAATATACAGTTATTTGTGTGCAGTTACTGTAAACGATCGCTTTATTTCGTGATACGGTCGACATTGTTGTATTATATATGTGCTGCTATATAAAAATTATGTGATACGCAATGTTATAATAAACTAAACTTTTTTGTTTACAGTACTCTTCGGTTGGAAAACTTTTAAGTATTTCTTGAATCAACGACTAAAATTGTGATTAGCAACTCTGTGATAGGATGGAGAAGGAAAGAAACAGAAACGTTAAATAATTCATTGCAATTAGAAAAAACACGGTTACATCTCCAACGTAATATAAACGTAAATAATAAACAAAGGCAAGGTAATATATAAAAAAGTATAATAAAAAACAATTGATTAAAAATTTAATGAATATGCCGAGTAGTGGTTCTCAACTTCCCTCCGCACCCCCTACAACAACAGTTAAAACGTCCTCGCACCCCTCACAACATTCACTCTTTACCTCTCATCCACTACAATAAGTGTATATAGGTGTATACCATTAGAGTACGTTCTAGCCTTTCAAAAATATATACGTTAAAGTGCATCTTGTTTTACTGTGTGCGTTGAAATATGCCCTCGTCCACCTTGCTGTAAAGAAAGCAAAACCCTATCTCGCACCCCTAAGGGGTGCAAGCACACCCAGTTGAGAAATCCTGATGTGGAGCAACCATCAATACACATAAACATATTAAACATGACATTCAAATATACAACAACTGTCAGTTTGAAGAAACAAACGAATAAACGTTTAACGATTAACATGAAAAAGCGCTAAACGAAAATTGCGCGCATATATATTCACAACTTTTTCAAATCTATGATAACTAATTATTATCGTACTATCGAAATCGTTATATTCTTATTAACTGAAAACTAATTCTCATAATTATTGAAAGGTTTATCGCTGTCATCAAAAGATATGATCAAATCGAAAGGAGATTCGTTGAGCAATAATCATAATCACAAACTCGACCGCACAACCATACTCGCAATAATCATAACAATAATAATTGAAAACAAAACCGACAATCAAATGCAATGAAGTCTCGATTATCAGCTCAACGGCTGAAAACGTTTAAGACCTGGAGGGGTGGTTGATATTAAGGGCGAATGATTGATTTTCCGTTTTTATTTTTCGTAAAAATGGAGGATTTAAATTCTTTGTAGGAGATAAGCTGTTTAAAATTATGCGGTACATTACTAATTTCACTTCAAATTTCTATTGATAATATTATCAAGAGCTGATTCAAGCGCCGCATTTGTACCTCTGAGTTTCGCAAGCACACATTTAACCCACATGAAATATTCACCTACTCGATGAGCACTCCAACCAACTGGTGTAGCGCGTTCCAAATCACGTAAATTATACAATTTATCGGCCAAAATAACCAGCTTCGCCTTAAAGATATCTTTAGCTTTTACCTCATACTTATGCTATAATCATATTCAGATATGTAACTTAATGACGACCTCCAGAACACCACTTACGGAGTGGGCATTGTAAATAAGGATTCCTATACTTGGATAAGTACGGAGGTCTTGATGCTTGAAAGAATGATTTCGTTACGTGACAAAGGAACGAAAAAAGAGCGATTTCCTCCGGAAACTGACCTTATGACACTTCCGAGACGCACTATCGATCAGGGCTTGCTTTCGAGCCATTTTACTCAGCGTTTTGTCATCTGTGCATTCAACTACTATACTGCGAATCTAGAAGTGTCTTCGTAACAATGAATTTAACGAAGAACAAACATCATAATATTGAAAAATGCACTGAGCCGAGTGGAGATTCAATCCATTTTGAATGTTCATATATAATCACATGATCAAGTCAACTCCCAAGCATCGTTAACACTCACTTCTTCGCCAAACTCTTCCTGAATTTCTTCTGGAGTTGTGTTTGTATCCTCCACGGTATCGTGAAGAATTGCAGCAGCAATTGTTGATGAATCAAAAACTTTTGCTTCACTCACTAGAATATTGGCCACACCTTTAACTCAAATGAACTTTTGTCCGATTGATGAATGGAATTGTGAGAGTAATCATTCGAATAAGAAGAGCATTGAAGCAAACCTAATGGATGATTAATGTATGGTGTTTGGTCTTTATCTTTTCGTCGCTGAAAACGATGACGACAAGCCGCAAAATCACTCGCCTTAACGATAAGCTCCAAATCTGGCTTCGCTGAAAAGCCATTTACTGAACACTTCCATTTAAATGAAATCAATTTTTATTCTCACCTTGTGCTGTCGTTTCACAGTCGTCGCTCGTCTGACATGGATTCATTGGCTGCAAAAAAATACAGCATATTCGAATGATATATCGGTAAGTGGGTGGTTTAGATGGTCAAACTCGAGACGACACTTTCTTTCGTCGTCGTATACAGAAACTCACGCTTCATGCATGATCAAGCGTGCGAACAAAATACTTAACGATGTAAACTGCGCAAACATTATCTTGTCAAACACACTCCAAAAATGACTAATTCATCACAAGTAAAACCGATAACCAATCAGCAAGGCATAGTCAATTACGCAGAAGTGGATTATCAACGGAAGAAAGGAGTTGATCCAGCTTAATCTGCGCAAATAAATAAGCAATTCAATCATTAAGTTGAATATATGAGGGTAATTCGTAAAACCCGTCCAGAAATGCAATATCATTATCTGAGGATAAGCTGGTCGCGATTTGCCAAATCACTCCTTTGGTTTCATTTGCGTTAAAAAGCTGACAATGAGTGAACTGAAATTGCAAGATCGAGAAATAGATATAGTACAGAATCTTCAGAGAATCATGAATGAGAGCGAATCAGTGATGCAGCTGAGGTGAATAAGAATACTACAACCGCAGTGAAAACGTAGTGCAGTAACTAATCTCAGGAATGCGACTGATGGGAGAGCACCGAAATCAGACATACGATTCATTGATAAACTGTTCTGTATATGGGAGCACGAAATGCGTGCATACGTTCTGAATAACTGATTCCATCAGAAGCCATGCTCCTGTCCTTTATTCACCCCTCACATTCTATCACAAGCTTCTACGTTTAATATCTATCATGTCTCACCGTCATCATTTCCAACTGTACTGATTGCATTGCAGTCCCACTATGTAGAGATACTCTTCTTATTCACTGCGTATGTATCACTGATTCACTCTCATTTATATTTAGCTTCTGATTCCAAACTCTATTCATTTCTTCATCCCAGATTCACATTTACAATAGAATTGATATATGCAGAATGAGTTACCACAACACGAAACAATAGTTCAGGTGCAAGAAATTCATCGCTTACATTAAGCCGAGGGTGAAAGATTATGTAAAGGAGACTTATCGGTGGAATCTGCAGTGTTCCTCTTCAGCTACAAAGAGGGAAGAGGAGGAATCACATCCGATCTGTGCCACAGCAATGCTCAAAATCCACGCTAAAATACGTTCTTGGTAGCATTCTGAGCCCGTAGCTTTCCTCGAATCGCCATGACCCCGTAAAATAACGTGCAATTCGTAACCAGCTCCCAAAAGAAATATAGAACAGCGCAGTATCAGAAGTTGGCATTTCGTCATTCCGACCGAAATTATCGGATTTTTCCGATCGACTGTCGGTCGGATACCATCACTAATTTCATATATTTAGGAATACCGATTCAAAGTCCATCCAAGGACCTAATAATTGATTTTACACAGCGACTGGGAAGTGGCAGTAATAGCAAATATGACTGATACTCTCTTACGACGAATTCTCCAGATTCTCTGGTTTCAGAAAAGTACTGATGTTGTCGGGTGATTTTGTTTTCTTCAAGCAATATCGACTAGTCCTTTCTAACACACTGTATCAGCATGGATCAATATGCGCAAGGCATTAGCAATATCACGTTCACCAAGCCCAACCCAATAGTACTCTCGTGTTTGCACGAAAGCGTGTTTGTCTCTCTTCTTCTAATTTCAAAAAATTGAGAATCAAAGGATTATATATAGCATGGTGAAAACATTAAGATGTCACTGGGTATATCTGAGCAGAACGACTGTTTGAAGATGGTAACCCTCACACCGACGCGCAAATGAATGTATTGACCGATTGAGATAAATTGCATTGAAACAAAAGCTGTTGTGCAACTGAGATACCTTCAGAAAATCACCTATTTCTCTAAAGGTAAGCAAAATTGCCCGACAAAATATATGCTTTTTTGGAAGTAAAGAATCTGGAGAATCCGATGGTGGAAGAAATCACCATACCTCTCGGCAAACCTGATAAGACTAATTTTTTCAATATAGTAACCCTCATACTGCTAATTGTAAGGAATACTGATTTAACGAGAAACAGTGTACTGAAACGAGCGCTGCCGAGCAACTGAGGTAAGGTCTGGTAGGTGTGTACTGAAAGTTACACATGAAAAGGTTGAATTTTTCGTTGACGTTACCCTCGGTATGTTTCATATGGAGAATTACCGTGTTATGGATATGATATGTGGGTAGCAGTCATCTAAACAATACTTTCACTGTTTTCAGTACATAAATATCTCATAAATGTAAATATCAATATAAATATATAAGATTATTCAGAGTGTGACTAAAAACACTTCAAACCGCACAGATTGTTGTGAGCATTTGGATATCTTCAACTAGAGATCGCCATCAACATATTAATGTTACATTTAAAACACCTTTTAAACAATCTAAGAGGTCGATTAATACAGGCATGCAATACTTCAACGTTGGACATCTCAGGGACTTGCATGGGCCAGCAAGCCACATAATGGCTCACCTGTCCAACATTCACTATCATAGTTATGGTATTACCCGTAATTTCGGTTCTTATTTCAAATTACACGATATTTGTGTTAGAGTTATGCAAAACAACATGCATTTGCTAATGGCGTTAATGGATCAGAAAGACAAGGACATATCGTGCTTAAAGATAACAACAGTCACATCTAATGATAATAACAACCACAATTAGGAAAACCTGCAGTTTAGGTCAAGGAAAAAGGGGGTGTGGTCTAACACATACAGAACATGCGTTAGCCATGGCACGCATGAAGACATTGTGCTTCAACTCTCTCCGCATATTTGACAATGCCTTCTAGAACAAGGAGAAGCATTTCAGCTAAAATGAATTAGATTTGAATGAATAAGCATACTTGCAACTAATTGTGATCCATGCAACGAGAAATAAACCAATGATAAATACTAAACAACAGCTGGGTAGAATTTGTACTCGCATTACGGCTATAATCAATTCACCTGGGGCCAATTGCAATACTCACTGAAATGAAATAAATTTATGCTCAAAACTGAAGAGTATTGACCTATTGCGCAGTAAAAGTCACATACATACTAATACCAACTGTAACGGATCCGTGCTGGATAGCATTTACCGTTAGCTTGAATATGATGATCCTTATATTATTGTGTATGTTGATCAATACACACACGATGCATTAGAATGAGCCACTCAGCTACATGAGATGGCTTTAGAAAATCGTTGATATAACTTCTAGTGAACAATATCCCTCGACAACACATACACGGCTCGTGAATCTTAGAAACATACGAAATCCAAAATCGGCTATATCTCCTCCAGTGAGCAAAATCGCTTGACAACATTCAAAAAAACATATTTTGGCGAGCAATTCTGCTTCCTTGAGGAAATATGGCTATTTTCACAAAGCTCAATCAGCAACAAGCGCAAAGGCGATTATTCATATACATTCTATCACTATATATCAATACGAATACGCTACTATGGCTCTATAAAGGTTACCATTTTCGAGGTAACTGTGCTCTCAGGTTTACCCAGGAACATGTGAATTTCTTTGCACCGTTCGATTGCTCAGAATCTCTTTTTTAAGAATATAGTAAACTTCGCGAGAAAATATGATCAGATGAGGAGATATAGCTATTTTCTCAATTCTATGCGGGTTGCCATCTTCGAGCCTACCGTATTCTCAAGTTTGCTCAGTAACATATGAATTTTTGTGCACCGTTCGATCCATCTGAATCTCTACATTCAGAAAAATATATATTTGACTGAGCAATTCCGCTTTCTTGAGAAGATATGACTAGTTTCATAAAGCTATATCAATAACTAGCGTAAAGTCGCTCATTCACATATATTCTGTCACTATAGGTCAATATTAACACATTACTATTGCTCTATAGAGGTTACCATCTTTAGCACCTTCAAGATACCCGTACCCTCAAGTTTGCCCAGTAACATATGAATTTCTTTGCACCATTCAATCGCTCAGAATTCTACGTCCAGAATATCATATATTTTGCCGAGCAATTATGATTAAATGAAGAGATATAGCTATTTTCTCAATGCTATACGGGTTGCCATCTTCGAGCCTACCGTACTCTCATCGTTCATATACTTCTGATCACTGTAGATAAAAATATGCACTAGCGCTATGGGGGTTACCATCTTCGAGGTAACCGTACCCTCAGGTTTTCCCGGTAACATATGAATGTCTTCTCACTATTCGATTGCACAGAGTATCATATATTTTGCTGAGCAATTATGATTAAATAAGGAGATATAGCTATTTTCTCAATGCTATACTTGTTGCCATATTCTAGCCTATCGTACTCTCAAGTTTACCCATTAACATATCAATTTTTGTGTACCATTCAATCCAACTGAATTCCGCTTTCTGGAGAAGATATGGCTATTTCCTTAAGGCTATCTCAACGAGCTCATTGGCGCTCATTCATATGTATTGTATCCCTATTGATCAATGCATGTATATTATATGACTTTTAGGGTTACCTTCTTCAAGGTAACGATACTCTCAGGTTTTCCCAGCAACGCACTGTCAGATTCCCCAGATTGTCTGCTTTCAGAATAGTATGGTATCATTGATTTCACCACGCTGTATCTGTATTGGTCATTCTTTAGCATGACAGTTTGAGGATCATATTTTCATACAGTCGGCCTTCTCAGGTTTACGTGTTCAAATCAAATGATGAAATTCGATCGTTTGGTTGAAGGTGAAGCCGAACGGGATGTGACGATGGATGTCACGAGCAATATGAATTGTTTATATCAGTACATTTGTGAGACTGGTAGAATCTCACCGAATGTGGTCTATTTTGAAAGGAAAATCACAGAAAAGATTGATATTTCTATGTCGGTTTTGTTTGATGTGCTGTGATACAGATTTTAATTA